GTCATTTTAGAATGGTGATACAACTTCCGCAAGTTGAGTTTTCCAGGACATCATGGTAAATGACCTAGAAATGACCCGATATTCACTTAGTTGATTTCCTGGGTCATTTTAGCATGGTGGCCTAACATTCTCAAAATAAGATTTTTCTAGACCACCGTGTTAAAATGGCCCAGAAATGACCTGATTTTCACCTAGAGTGTTTTCAGGCGTTTTTAACATGGTGGCCTAATTTTTGCAAGTTGAGTTTTCTAGGCCACCAACTTTTTTGATGTAGAAATGGCCTGATATTCACCAGGCATGTTTTTAGGCCATTTTAACATGATGGCCTAACTTTTGCAAGTTGAGTTTTTCAGGCTACAAAGGTAAATGATCTAGAAATTTCAAACTTTTACAAATTGAGTTTACTAGGCCGCCATCTAGAAATTTCGTTAGAAAGTTTAGAAAAAAATTACCATTCAAAGGCGCATTTTCTGAGATCAAGACCCTCGTCGACGAGATGTTTGAATGGTCCCATTTCGACTTCCTTTATGAGTTCCTTTCGAAGTTTCGTCTCTTCGTAAATATGTGGGAGGAGCTCCGGAAGAAGATCTCTGATCAGTGCCGACTTGTTATGAGCAGCCGAATTGAGCACAACGAGTCCCACACGACGAACCTTGAGGTCTGGATCGCGAATCGATTGAAGGAAGTCCTTGATATACTTCTGAAGAGACACATCGACACTTCTCTTATCATCGTTTATCATATATTTGATAGCAGAGACAACAGCGGCACGAATCGTTGGATCTTGCGATTTCATGTGTTCTTTGAGTTGTGGAAGAAGAGTTTCTGGGTCAAATGAGCATAGACGACCAAGACATTCAGCAACAACACTTCTAGTTCCATCTTCACTTCCACCAGCGTTAGCCATCAACATTCCCCAAATATCTCCAATTGCTGATCGGAAGATAGCAGTGGATTTTGAGCCCTCATCCAAAGACGATTCCCAAACAATGGCTTCCTTTAACGCATGCAATAGGAGGTATTGCTTCTTGGGTTGAGTTTTAATTTGATTCAAAATGAATGGAAGGTATACTGTCAAATTTCCAACTGCCAATGCTCCGAGAGTCTGAGCAGCCGCTGCCTTCAAATCCTCATGTGGGTTATTAAAGGCACGAATAGCCAAATCCTCCGGTTGAACTGGGAAATCAGGAGCATAAGTCTCTGGAACACGACGTCCAAGTTCTCCCAAAGTGATCATAGCGAATAGACGAATCGAGTCAGTCATCGTTGGAACTTGAAGTTGTTGAGCGAGTTTCTTGGCGAGAGCACGACTCTTTTCAAGGCTTTGAGTGCTTTCAGTTATAACAGCTGCACAGGAGGCAATGGCCAGGTGAGAGTGTCTAGAGAGTGGCAGGTTGTCGTAGACTGGAGAGGTGACGGTGTCCAGAAGGTTCTCGAACGTTGGCTTTCCGTCGAAATCGGTCTTGACGATGGCCGAGAACAGGCTGAGGAGAGATTGGAGAGCAGGGCCCTGGAAATAAAAATATTTAATTCAAATCAAGATTCTGAGACTCTTTGGATTCCTAAATTCAAGATTTATCTTTTAAAAACCGTATAATTTTTGTTTTAGGTTGCTTTGAAGCCAGGAACTCAGGTTTGGGTTACT